GGTGATTAGTTTAGGAGAAACACACAATGAATGTGCTTATCACCAGATCTAACACTGTGCTGGACACCCCTTTGGGTCCCTTAAAATTCAAAATGTGCCTGCCACCCCGACGTAAAGGTCTCTCTCAGCTTAAACGGCGTGGTTGTGTTTTTACAATACAGAAGTCTGTGGCAATTTTGAAGTGTAAATGTGGACAGCGTTAAGCGAAACAACTTCTAGAGTGAACAGTTCATCATGGGCTGATGAATTGATTTGCACCTTTATTTAAATTTAACGGGCTAAAAAGCGCTGAGTGTTTGGGCTTTATCTCTAAGATGTTGTCTCAAACCTCCCAGCCCATTAGACTTAAGTAGTTTAGAATTCAATGATCTGATTGCAGAGTTCAGAGATTATTAGAGCAAATGGGGCCTGATCAATGCCTTGGGTCTTTTTTTTTTAGTGTGTTGATTAATTAATCAACAGGAACAGAAATATATGTGTAATGCAAATTAACTCGCTCTCAAGTTACCGGAATACCAGAATTGTTCATAAGCAGAAAAGGGGAATCCAAAAGCAGCCGGGTATTGGTGCTTTTATCTGTGTAGCATCACTTTCTTAGGTGATGTCCTAGGCTAGGTATATCTGAGGGTTTTGTATTATTGTTTCTCCTGTGCTGTCCTGAGGAAAAGGATCAGCTTTTGAGGCAAAGGAAGAAATTTAGTAACTGAAATACTCATGATTCACAGTTGGCCCTCGATTCCATTTGTTGTCACTGTTTCTCTTTGTTTGCATTAACTCCCCCACACCAAGTTGTTCTGCTGTAATCTAGTACCGAATACAGTTTCCCTAATCCCCAAGTCTACATTAATTTGCAAGATTTCCCCACAAAACAAATTTATTTTCTACAGACTGTTCTGTTTACCTTTGCCAATGATGTTTTTAGTCATTTTCCCCATAGCTTTGTCTCTCAGTGTGGTCAGATATAAGCTTTGTTCTCCCCTAGTTGCTCTTTATTGAAAGTCTTCTATGCTTGGTCTTCAGAGTACGTGAAAGCTTTGTGCTGTTTTTCCCAAGGACTGTTTATTGCTTCCATCTCATGGGGAGGTAAGATGCTTGATTCGTTTTGGAGTTTGGGGACGTTCTCCTATTCCTGTGTGTGGACCTCTACTTTCAACTGCATGCGGGGACCAGACCAACTCATCGGTCAGGTCATCCCTCTGTAGCAGTCAGCTTTTTTTTTTAGAATCAAAAAAGTTTTTAGGTTCGAACCTTGAAGTGCTTCCTGTCGGGCTTCTTGCTCCAGTTCTGTTGTGGCTTTTTATACACATAACAATTTTTACTAACAATAAGAATTGTGTGCATAGCTGGTATTAAAAGGAAAAGCTGGGGTTTCAGAAAATAAAAGGAATGACGAGTGCCGGCATTTGGCCGGACAGTTCCTACAAACAGGGAAGATGAGGTTTCCATTAAAACACCAGATGATGATCTGTCTCAAACCCCGTGGGCTGGAGAACTATGGCTATTTCAGCTACTCTGACCTTACCTGCCGTTGTGGAGACAGCGGTAACAATTGGCCAACCAGCAGAATGGCCCATCTTAGTGAAAGAACCTGTGATACCATGTAAAATTCACTCCTAAGACCAAAAGACACGGAGTTGGCTAAGCCCAGCCAATAGATCTTTTGCCTAACTCTCTCCCTGTTTAGCTTTCGTAGACATGGCAGGAGACTGGAGAGGAAGATGATGGTAAGGCAAGTTCTGTGGACGTATTTCACGCTCATCTCAAAGAGGCAATTTTCGTTTCTGTCACTTGTGCGATTTTATTCTGTATGTACATAGGCAGATTCCGTGAATCATCACGTAAGTTATAAATTCCATTCTGTTTCCATGAACTGTGAGTCTCCTTGTGTCTGGGGCTGTCATGTGCTAACAAGAGACAGGAGAGGTGCCAGCGTGTCAGTCATTACAGACTCTCTCCATCTAGCTTACTCTGATCTAGGAGAGGCAAACGAGGAACAGGATCTTAAATAAGGACAGAGTATCCCTCTCGGGAGGAATCAAGACAAAACAGCCAGGTGGTAATGTTTGGATTTCAAAGCTGGGAAGGATTTTTGGAAGCAGAAGCAGCTTGGTCAGGAAAGATAAGGTGACGCACGGACAGAGCGGAGGGGTCCTGTGGCGCCGAGGCGGTAGGGAGGCAGCGGAAGCCGCCATTTGAAGGAGCAGCTGTCTGCTGGCACGGCACGGGGCGGGGAGGTCCCTAAGCACCAAGGGGCATCTCAAAATCCCGAGGAAAATTCAAGAGTGAGGAAACATAGGCAGAGAGAAGTACGCGTGTTAATGGTTTCGTGTGGCCCCGTCTATCTCCTGCGGTCATTAAAGTGAGGCGTGGCTGCTTTTGAGACAGTTTGCAACGTGTGTGCATTACCTGATTCAACTTCATGGGATCCTGGAGAGGGAAATTGTCACTCGGATGTCGGCTATGGCTGAGCTCTGGGAAGGAGTGAATCGAAGCCATGAGGATTTGGCAGCAGTCGCAAGGTCTAAACAGGGGTCTCTGTTCTTAGAAGAGAGAAGAGATCTGCTGGAGACCCAAAGCAGATACAAAAACTTCAGGGTGTTTTCACGTGGAAGCAGACTGAGGCTTTGTGAGCGTCCCGCAAGAGGTATAATCTAGGTTGTAATATCTCAGTCTTCAAATTCTTACCTGTAGTAAAATGAGAGAGACTGGAAGAAGAACAAAACACTCTCACAGTAAGATAACAAACAGTACCGTAGGTGGCTCCAAGCGATGTCTGGCATACGCACATACATGAACCAGCCACAAAATGGAAATCATGCCACGTGCGTCTTACCATAATTTGCACCGAACCCAAGAATAATAATGGCCACCAACAGACAGGCTGTTAGCTCAGGCTTAGTGCCCTACTACTGTAGCTACGTAGCTTCTGACTCGTTTGGAGCGTGTGAAAAGGAAGCTCGTGGTCGCTTGCAGCATAGTAGCCATGGTGGTGTTGGGTTGACGGTGGGACTGATGATCTTAGAGGTCCTTTCCAACCTTAATGATTCCTAGTTTTACTTTCATTAAAAAATAATCCAGTTACCATGCCAGGAAACATTAAATTAATTATTACTCTACCATTAATTGGTTTAGTGGTGGACTTGGTAGTGTTAGGTTAATGGTTGGACTGGATGATCTTAAAGGTCTTTTCCAACATAAACAATTCTATGATAGTCCAAGTAACTCGTATCCATTGGCAAATGACCACGTGCACCCTGTGCTTGCAGGAGTAAGGTCATATTGCCAGCATTTAAGTCACTGACTTTGCATATTTTATAGAATCATAGAATTTTATCATGCTGGATGATGTGGTAGTGCTGGCCCGTATATATGAATAGCTTTCTGGGGTGAAGTCAAAGCGCAGGCTCCTCCGAGGCAATTTAAAAGCAGTGAAATGCTCAAGAGGATAATGCAGAGCAAACTGATGTAAATGGTTCTTCTGCATAAACTGCAATTTTTGTAATTTGTTTTGGGAGTGAGGGGAGTGTACACTGCTGTTTGGTTTTGATTTGCATAAGTTCATAAAATGTTCTGAATTTTTTTTTTGAAAATATAACTTAACTGTTGAGAGGGAGGTGAAGCTTTTGTGACAAAGGGAAAATATTATAATAGGAAAATTAGGGATTATTGTGATGTCCATGTTGCAGACTTATTAGGCCTGAAAATAGATGAACTGCGGCGATTACTTTGTATGATTTCTACATATGCAAATGGACATGTAATTATCTATCAGTATAAAATATTAGTTCATATTTACTGTATAATAAGTAATTCAACTCTATAAGCAAATGAAGATTACCTCGAATTTACATACAATGTGAAGAAAAGTCCCTTTATCCTCTGTAACTGCAGCATTTGGCAGATTCAGGAATAAATAATCTTTTGTGGCAAGGGTATGCCTTATCAAACATATGCAGATCAGTGCTAATTAATGCTAATTAAGGTTTCCTGTCTATCTAGTTGGAAAAACGTCCAAATGTTATGAAATCCAGTTAGTATGCCTATTACCCTAATTGTTTTATATGGGATGATTCTTAATTAAAATATGTAAATTGACCTTAATTGCTATATACTAATGGAGGTTCATGTTATCTCACTAAAAATGACAAGATGGTGAGAAGGGGTACTTAAACAAATAATTCTGATACATTTGTAAATAAATGACCTTTACTCAAAATTATTTTTAATTGGGAATTGGCAAAAGGAACATTTTGCCATCTATGTTTCTCTCTAGTTTTAAATAATGTCAGAATTTACAGTTCGTTTTTAATATAGATACGGTGACATTGCAGCTTAATTAAGAGTGCTAAACAAGTCAACATTTTATGTGTTTACTGTGTGTTTCAAAATTGTTTGCTAACCTCCTGTTGACCTTCAGAAATGTCGTGCTTTACGATATTGATCTTAATTTTCAGTATTTTGGGGTTTATTTTTTGATTGTGATCTCTCGTCATTATAATATTTTATTTGTGAAGTACAGTTTTGCTGGTGACGGGACCTGGGACCCTGACTCTTTGTCGGAGAGGCTGGTGGGCAGTACCTCCTTGCACTTTAGCGTAGGACACGGACTTTGATCGACTTTGGGGAGCGTAGTTCACATGTACGCTGTTACGTGACTGAGGCCTACAGACATTTTTACACAAAGTTTTGCATGCCCTCTACCCAGCACAAAAGCATTATTTAAATGATGTTTTGTATGGAATTTTATAGGTGCCCCATATTGCCATTTTTGTGATAGTTAGACCGTTTCACACACAGAGCAAACGTTTTTCTCCTCTGATGTAGAGAATCTAATTAGAGAATCTGCTAATTTAGAGAACTGGCCTATAATTGTAGGTTTTACTATAATAACAGTTCATTTTATAAACACCTGGTACGTTTAAGTTTATATTATGTCATAGACATCGTTGATATGTGCCTCACTTTGGAAAGTCAATCTGAAAGGCTTCACTGTTTTGCAGGATATCATAACCAATGTTTCTCCGAGGATTGTGCGTGGAATTACTTCAGGTCCTATGTACGGCCCAGGCCAAGGCTCTTTTCTGAACATCGAATTGATCAGCGAGAAAACAGCAGCCTACTGGTGTAAAAGTATTGCTGAGCTGAAGGCTGACTTTCCACACCACGTAAGTGCCGCTCAGTCATAATGACCCAATATACTTATTTAGAACCTCCGGTTTATAGATCTGTGAGAACTCACCTATTTAAGATTTATTAAATAGAATGCCAGCTGCTTTATTGACATACGAGTATGTTGTTAAAAACCAGAAAAGTCCAGCCAAATAGTCTTTATGACAGAAAATTCTGTGAAATGACTTACACAAACAGAGAACGGTCGTGATTTTTCAGTTAGGCTGATGTTTACATTCAAATAGATAATATCAGGGGAAGGAGTTGATCCCAGAACGGATGCTTGTCAGTTCCGCTGTGAATAATTTTGTATTTAAGATCATATTTAAATATTTAATTTATAGTAGTCATTTTCATTGTGAATTGAATTTGATTATAAAAGGAATCTTTGTTCTTGTCGTTCTTAATCCAAATGTGAAAGATACTTCTAATATTTTTATAAGCAGTTGGCTGCTTTAGGAGGAAAAAAACCCAATACTAACTTGAAGTTAACTTCACTGCAAGGACAGAGTTTTGTTAGAGCCTTCTTGGCTATGGGGAATATTGTCTAGAAGGTAATAATCAAAGTTGGGGGCAATGATGCCAGCTAGCTGGCATAAATGGTTTTCAGCTACTGTTCTAGTGAATAAGAACAACGAGGTGGAAAGTAAAATTCACCTCAATCATTATCTCAAATGGATAGAGCTAGAAATCCCAGAGCTTGCATATCTTCTGTCTTGAAGTTATTACCTCCATGGTTCAGCTATGAACAAAATAAGTGAACGTTCCTGAATGTATTATGGCATGAAGGCAATCAGGTTTTTCTTTCCTGTTCCTGGAGTTTAAATGTACATATCAGCAAGTGTAAAAATGTTTAAACACATTGTCTTGATAGTAGAAGTTAAGTGCTGCACGTTTAATATCCTACTTCACTATGGATGGACTGTGTGTTTCTTTGCTGAGGTTCATGTCACTTCACTGGGAGTGGGCTTCATAATAGTGAAGTGTGAACCGAAAGATAATATTTGTAATTCTCTGATTTGGATTTTAACACCCTTTGTCAAAGTCCTGGATATTGCATGCAGGCAGACTGTTGGCCATATCTGCTGGGGGAACGGTCTCCGAGTGCAGTCTTCACCAAAAATCTGTTGCAGGATTTTGTGCTTGAGACCAAACCGTTCTCTTTGGTGAGGAAAAGCACTAGCAACAATTTCAAAAGGAAAAGCTGAATTTTCTGAGACCTAGCCTCTTGTGTGGGATGAAGAAGGCCCACTCTTCCGTAGTTCCTGGGGTGAGCATCTTCTGATCATCCCTCACTATGTGAGTTATTACTTTGAGAATGTGAATTCAGCTTCTGCACATTGGCTGTGGCTGCTGCTGTGGCACCTTTGAGGTTCTTAATGCCTGCGTGGGCACGGGGAAGCAGCACCAGCAGTAGACTTTGGCTTTGCTCACAGGGATTTCTAAAATGTCCCCATAAACTCATCTAAGAACTGTCACAATTATAATAGTAAATTTATTGCTAACCGAAAACAGATTTTTGTTCACTGAGTAGAAATCTCTTGGTGCTTATTTTGAAATATTCTGTATAATTAAAGCTTGCAGAATTTTTTTACCCCAAATTCCTGTTCAATCCTCTAGAAAGGCTTTTTAAATTGATGAGTTTTGGGGGGGGTTTATTAAAACCAAAAACGGTTTCCGAGAACTGTGAGTGAACTTAATCAACAAGCAAAGAATGACATTTTCTGCTCAAATGAAAGCCAAACAGTGATGAGGACACAAGTGACTACAGTTAAAAAACTCACCTTGCTATGGTAAATATTAAAAACAAATCACAATTTATACGTAGTAACTTTTGCTATGTAACACAAGTAATTTAAGGTAAGATTTATCTTACAGATGAAAAGGATATGAGCAAAATAGGTACCTCACTAGAAGATGATGCTACAACAGCATCCTATCTCGTGCCATTAGGAACAAGTGAACCATAACGCAAAAAAAGTAGCTGAATTCCCCCAATGAAGCCTAGGATTTATAGAATCATAGAATCGTTGAGATTGGAAAAGACCTTGAAGATCATCAAGTCCAACCATTAACCTAACACTGTCAAGTCCACCACTAAAACAATTAAGGGTAGAGTAATAATTTTGTTTCCTGGCTTGGTGGCTGGATTCTTTTTTAATGAAATTAAAACTACAGTAGAACCATTAATGTTGGAAAGGATCTCTAAGATCATCAGTCCAACCATCAACCCAACACCACCATGCCCACTAAACCATGTCCCAAAGTGCCACATCTGCCCGTTTTTTGAACACTTCCAGGAATGGGGACTCCACCACCTCTCTGGGCAGCCTGTTCCAATGCTTGACTACTCCTTCCATGAAGAAATTTATTGTAATATCCAATCTAAACCTCCCCTGGTGCAACTTGAGCCCATTTCCTCTCATCCTATTGCTAACTACTTGGGAGAAGAGACCAACACCCACCTCACTACATAAATAAAAATAAATACATAAATACACTACATAAATAAAAATAAATACATAAATACACTACATAAATAAAAAACCCTAAACTAAATTTGGCAAGGGGTTGTGCAAAAGGGGACCACCAGGCACAGCTCAGTGGCCAGTGTCATGTAACTGTGACATGTTGGCTCTGTAGATCAGGAACTAGCTTCACCCTTGTGCTGGCTTCACCCCTGTAGCGTGTGGCCTCATTCTTTGGCTCTTCTGACTCCTGATTCTTGCTTGTAGCTTGCAATTATCTCTGGCTGCGAAGTCTTTCCCAGTCTTCTATTAGCTTCTCCCTTCACCCCTGAATCCTCTTCAAGTGGACTAGGGCAAAAGCTGCCACCAGCAGAATGCTGCAGTGCCACCGGCAGTGAATTAAATATTTGTAAGGGTCCAAGCAGAGGAGAAGGCAGAAAGAGAAAGTGTCTGGATTTTGTATGTTTGCTTGTGAAGTATCATCAAAATCTTTGCCGTTTCAATTTGGACTTTTTAAAATTGAGTTAATTTACTGTTACTATTGCTGTTCTTTTCAAAAAAAACACACACACACACAAAGAAATTAGATGGTATGCACAGTACAGGCTCCAGATGATTTTTTTTTTTTTTTTTTTTTTAAATCAGGGGCTTCTCTGCTGAAATGATTTGCAGTTAAAAATGGGATTGTTTTCCTTCTGGTACTTTAGACATCTCAGTAAGGTATTACTTCAGCAACTTGGCTGAGACCATTTAAAACATATGGTATTATTCAGTGTTATTTATTGTTAAATTTTCAAAGGACGCAGTTTTAAAAACATTGTGTCCAGTGCTTTCCTATATACCAAGAAAACATCCTTTCAGTCAGAGCGCTGTGAAAGTGAGAAGAAAATTGGTCTGTTTGTATTTGTCATCTTCTTTTTACTTTCCCAGATATTGTGGTTTTACTTATTTATATTGGCCTCTCTTTGTGATATCCAAATATCTTCCTTACGTGGTTAACTAAGGGTTTTTTATGAGAGTCTGTTATTTATATTTTTCTGTCTTATGGCTACACATAGCATCTGATACCACAGGATTTGTCATTCTGTGCAATTATTAATAAGGAGAAAATGGATTTTTTTTTTTTTATTCTTTAGTAGTAGAGACTAAGGACTTGACTATGAGAAAAGATGAAACAATTATTTTATTAATTTCATCGCCTTAAGTGTAATATTAAAATATCCCTTCTGAATTAGTATAAAGCTGACACCTTATTGGCAAATTCTGCATCCCCACTCCCCCCCAAAAGGTTGTTTGTAAAGTGCTATATTAATCTAAGACTCAAGAAAAAAGTGCAAGAAAAATATCAATAATGAGAATTTTCAGATTAAAATTTAATTACTGCTTGTTTGAGAGGAATGACTACTGAAACCAGAATCATAGTTGGTAGTCTGTCTCTCTACTCCCTGCTACAGAGGGACATTGTGGGCCAAGCCCAATAAAAGCTGCTCCAATGTAATACAAATATTATCTCAAAAGCATCATGAGAAATAGGGAAACTCTCCCTTTCTAAGGCCTGCTTGGAGTGATTTGAAATGGTGGGGGGGAGATTTGGAGCTGGGGAGTGGACGAGTGGCTGGGTGGGGGCTTAGCTTCTGACCGGGGTTAACCCACCGCGGATGGAAAACGCATAAAGTTGACAGTTCATGTTAAGAAGACTAGACCAGTATTTGGACATGCAATATTTGAAGTGCTTTAGATAATGGGGTAAAAGAACTAACACTAATGCCACAACATGTCCTACATATTTTATTTACCAAGGAGATGCCTGCTTATATGGTGTATTGATGTACCTTCCAGCCGAAATGTGGCTGAAAGAATGGCGGTTTATGGTATATTCAAGAAATTAGTTTACTTAAGAAATATGAATTTGGCCAAGTAGAACGCACCTAATGATATGATCTGGAATGAAAACTGTCTAAAAAAAAATAAAAAAATTCATTTTTACTTTAGCAGAAGTCTACAATCAGTAGAAAGTGGCTGAGAAAGTTGAAAAGAAAATTATAAAACCTTGGAAGAGAACTTACTGCTGAAATTTTATATTCATATACTTGACATTAGCTACACTATGGCCATTATCTGTGCTGGGAACTGTGAATACTGGTAGTGGCAGGGGATATATTGGTGGTAGCACTTGTTTCATCAGGAAAAGCATGCAAACTGCTGCTGCTCCTCATCAAAACCCTTTGCTTACCATCACTCAGCCTTCTCATTTGAGTTGGTAAATCACCTGCTTACACAGATGTCTGTTCTTCCAGTCTCATAAGCATGTCTATATATTTACACTACCTAGTAGTTGGCCAAGTATTTTAAGGTTTCGTATTGCCCTGAAACCTCTTTAGCATCTGCACTGGAGAGAACAAGCTTGAGAAGGAGCGAGGTTTGAAAGCGGTAAAACACTTCTCTACAGAAAAATGTTTAACTGAAGGTTCAGTAAGAAGGTGATGGGCACAGTTGCCAGGTAGTCTTTCTCCACCTTCCCCAAACCC